TGTGTGTGTGTGTGTGTGTGTGTGTGTGTGTGTGTGTGTGTGTGTGTGTCTTAAGGTAGGGAAAGGAGCAGCAGAGGTCTATTTTAGAAAATTCCTTTTCCAAATGGCTATGTGTGTCAGGTAGTCTCAAAAACACACTAAGCATGGTCAGTAAACAGACACATGAAAGCTAAGGGGCAAGAAACAGTCCAAAGCCCCTCTCTGAAAACACAATAAATAACGTGAAAAGCCACTGACAGCAACATGAGGTGTTTTTATGACAGCTCTTCCCCTCCATAACTGGATGAGGCTCTTTCCTGGAAATTTGCCAACGGGCAGTTTCACACTAAATCTACCACTGTTTTAATTTCCAAGTGAGGCGGTAAAGGACTCAAAGTATCACTTGTCAGTAGGGGACAGTGCTGCTTGTGAGGACACACTGGCAGTGCAGGCCATGAGCTGCCTGCTGGACGCGTCGGTAAGGGCCCTCCCGCCACATTTATGTGACCAGGTCACAGGCTCTGACACACTAGCTGACCTCAGTCACAGCTGTCCTGATGGCTATCCCAAAGGACCAAAGGAGGCAGGAAAATGACTGAAGTACTTGCACAGCTTAAAACCACCTCACGCAAGGCGCAAGGTGCGTATCTACTGCACGGGAGATCTCAGACGGAAAAGCAATGCCTAACAAGCTACTTTGCACACCGGCTCGGACACAGTGCCAAGGTGGCCAGCTATCAAATGCTGCAGACAGGACGGAGGGTTCCCCCAAGAGAACCCCGAAAAAGGCAAGACTCCCTTCCCTGCCTCCACCTCGCTACCCAAATGAAGTATACAAATGTTAACAAATTCCAGAAGCCCACAGCAGCCTACTCTGAGGTCTAGCGGGCTCGGCATCATGCAAGCCCGTGGATGCTGGCCCAACCCTCGTGGCGGAAACGTACACTCACATCCTACTTGATGGTCCACCTGCCTTCACCTCCACAGCACAAGCACCCACAGCAAGCTGATAATGCACTGTAACATCCTAAAATCGTGAATCATAGATGGGCTCTCATGGTTTCAGAAAACAAAAAAGTAACTAGTGCTCTGTACCAGTCAGCAAGCAATCTTCTGTCCCATCCTCTCTCCCAATAGGGAAATGGGAGGTCTTTTCACAGCTGAAAACACAGAAATGTGGAGTGAGATAGATATATAAATGATTGTTAGGTGATAACTGATAGATGATAGAAGATTGATAGAGATAGAGGATACATAGATAATCGATGATAGATATAGCAAGTGATAGATAATAGATGATAAATAGATGATAGATGGATATAGACAGATGATATGAAAATCTTTACTAATTTTGTCTGAATTATATACCAAGGACTAGAGAGATGGCTCAGTGGTTAAAAGCACTGGCTGCTCTTGAAAAGGACTCCCTCCCCACCCCCCCAGTTTTGGTTTCCAATATCCATGTAGATAGTAGTTTTACGGTACTAACCACCAATAATTTGAGATTTTTGTATCTTTATGTGTGTTGGTGTTTTGCCTGTGAGTGTATCCACACAGCACCTGTATGTCTGGTGCCCACAGAGGCCTGAAGAAGGCATGGAATCCATTGGAACTGTAGCTAACAGACTAGTTGGGAACGTCTGAGCCACTTCTCCAGTCCTTAGCATATAATTTAGACAAGACTAATAAGCTAATAACTGAGAAGGTAAAACACCAGAAAATACAATGCCGGCCACTGTCTTCCTGTGTCCTCTGTGAGGACACAATGTCCCGGGGCTTTTACCAGTCCAGGCCTTCCTTTGGGAATGTGTGGCCATGCGCAACACGGCATACTGCTCTGAGGAGCAGAGGGAGGGCTTGGGGTGTCACCATTTCTAAGAAGGAAAATGTTCTAGGCAAGGCTGTGAGCCAATACGGATATTTACAGTGTGAGAAAAGACTGATGAGTGCCCAACAGCGAGAGGGTCATAAGTCAGAATAGACCTACAGTAGAATATTTCCAACTGTTTAAAATTCAAAGTAGGAAAATCTTTGCAGTAGGAGAAAAACAGCAATACTGAGAATGCAGGTGCACAGAGCCGGCACGGAGGATGTGTGCGTGACCAAGAGTCTGTGTGGGGTGGCATGGCTGCCCGCGTGGACTCGCCCTGTGGGAGCGGCGGCACTGGAGGCGCACAGGGGCCTCACGGTTCTCCCGGTTTCCCGCCTGTTGCGAGATGACAGGTACATATTATTTACCACAAAGGCAGAAGTGCATTGCTTAATTATTCTAAGCATCTCCATATGGCCCTTGCACGCCCTGCTCTGCTGCAGAAGTGGGGAGGAGGATGATCGCTCCCTGGAGCCCCAGCCAGTTGGCCTGCATACAAATGGCTCCGCCTGCCTGAAGTGAGCGGTGGGAGATTTCAAATTCCAGCGGCAGTGATGACCAAGGGAATCCCCTCGGCCCACTGTCACGTGTGCAGCATTTGAAGGTTCAGCCCCCACTTGTCAGGTGAGGCAGGCACCTGGGAGGACACAATGTCTACCGTGCATGCTGCTGGGATGCACCTGCCGAGACGCAGGCCAGATACACTCTAGGCTGCACAGACTCTGCAACTTTTCCAGGAACTCTTGAGAAGTGAATTCTAAGAATTAAACCCTTCCGTGTTTCAAACACGACAAAAGCAGGTCTGTTTGCTGACCCTACACCTGAGTCACCCACTCAAGATGCTAAACAAAGTCACGGACAGAAGCCTGGCTATGCTCAGACTGCTAGCCTGTCAAGTCTCTGTTACACTTCCTAAGCCAGCGCAGGCGTGTGCTCATTCCTCTAGAAGGTCATGCAGAGGGCAGAAAAAAATCTCCTATGAAGAGAGAAGAGAAAAACCAGAAACAAAAAAGAAAGGGATTTTATAGGGTAATGCTTCGTGTTCAGGTTTTATTCAGAGGCTGTTTTTACAGCTCAGTTAAACTTTCCAGACTTGTTAAGGTCTTGGCTTCCATCCCTGAGACAGAGGAGACAGAAGAAAGGGGAGGGGGTGCACGCATGAGAAAGGGGGAGGGCTACCTTTTTAATCTATGGATAAACTATCATGGATCCACAGATGACCATACTCACAGCATATAATTTTATCAAAACATTCAAACACGCCACGCATTAGCGTCTCCACACAGTACATGGCCGAGCAGCACACAGCCACGATTGAGTGGTACCAGCAGTGGCACCAGTGGGCAGAGGATGCCAAGGCTGCAGAAACAAGCGGGGGCAGTTACCTTCCTGTCACGCGCCTTGGGACTTCCAGCGGTGTTCTGCTTGAGAAAGCCAGCTGTCGTGGACCAGCGGGTGGGGTTTTTCCGGGAGGGCTCCTCTGAGGAAAAGTTATTGTCACTGACAGACGTGGAGAGGCCAGTCAGAGCTGGGTCGCTGCTGCGGCGGACGTGAAGAGGCATATCTACACAGAGAGAGGGTGGGACTTAGCAGAAACCAACAGCACGCTGGGAAAGACGAATTCAGACCTTAATATTCTTTCTACGTTTGTAATTTAGGGTTTTATATCAAGTTTATTGTTGTGTGTCTGTATGAACTCGGGTGTGTGTGCGCCATGGCACTTGTGCGGAGGTTGGAAAACGACGTTCACCAGTTGAGTCTCTCCTACCTTGTGGGGTGCCAAGACCGAGTTCAGATTGCTAGACTTGGAGGTGAGCGCCTTTATTTGACAAGCCGCCTTGCCATCCAAAGTAATGCTTTAGAGAGACAGGGGCCAGCACTCTAACACAAGTCCTACTGGGCCTTCAAATGCCCAGCTGGTGAGAGACAGAGGAGGGCTTCTGTGTAGAGAGGGAGACAGAGGAGGGATGCTGGGAAGAGGGGGGACAGAGGAGGGCTGCTGGGTAGAGGGGGGACAGAGGAGGGATGCTGGGTAGAGGGGGAAACAAACAAGGGCTGCCAGGTACTTAAGCTTCACCACTCCTTACTTGGGCAAGAAGCCCAGCTGCTCTCCACCTCTGGTCACATGATACTGGGATAATGATGAGATAATATTCTGCTTGATAAGGCTACTATGGGGTCTAAGTAAGAGTCAGTGCCTGGCCTGTGATAAATACCAAATTGAGAATAACAACCCAAACTGTTCTTATTTACCAGCATATCTAGATAAATTATCCTAAATACTATGTAAGACAATTAACAAAACAAGAAAACAAAATTATTTCAGCCAACTTTTAATTGTATTTATAGAATTAGAAACGCAGAATTTAGAAAATGCTTGGATAGCCTACTAACGAATTATGCTAAATAAAACTCGGCTTTTCTTCAATGAAGTATTATAAGAGAAATGCAAAGAACAAAACCACTGCTTCTCCTGAAGATGATTTTAATTGTCAACCTAAATAGACTTAGGTTCTTCTGGGAGCCATCTCTGGCATGCCTATGGGAATGTATGCAGAGAGGTTTAAGCAGAACACAAGAACCACCCTCAAAGGGTATGGCGCTGGCTGCCATCTTGGACTGAGTGAAAAGGAGAACCTGAGTGGCTCTCCAGCCTCTCTCTCTCCACTTCCTGACTGTAATGTCATGTGACCAGCTCCTGCTCACTGTTGCCAGGATGTTCCCACCTTAGTGGGCCGACTGTCCCCTCACACTGTGAGCCAAAATAAGCATGTCCTTAGGTTGCTTTCCTAAGTATTTTGTCACAGCAAGGAGAAAACAGTATGTAGAAACCCCTCATATACTCATACAAACCCCTCCACAGAAGACTGCTTTAATAGCATATTCATGCAGAATTAGAATGTGTCTGTCCGTAACTGTGTTAAAATAATCTGTAACAAATTCAGGCCAATATCTGTTATGGTATCACTAGAGGATGTCAGACCAAAGCAGTGAACAAACCTAGGATACGAGTTTTAATAGTTACTTAAAAAAAAAAAAAAAAAAAAAAAAATTCTAACAAATACCAGGCGTGGTAGTGCACGCCTTTAATCCCAGCACTCAGGAGACAGAGGAGGTAGAGATCTCTCTGGGTTTGAGGTCAACATGGACTAAACATTGTGTTCCAGGATAGCTAGAGCTACACATTGAGGCCTAGTCTCAAAAGACCAACCAACCAACAACAACAAAAGTCTAACAAAACAGTTCTTCTCAGGATCAAAGCTCGCAAGCCAAGCACAGAAATATTGAATGTAGTATTTACATTCACACCACGACACCTTGATAAGGCTACCACAAGCTGGGCAATGCCACCCAAGCAGAAAAGCACTCGAGTTTGACATTGGTGTGGCTAATTTAATAGGAGGAGCGCACACATAAAGATTATGGGAGCTAATTTTCGATTTTTAAGTACATGTAAATTACCTGTGATAGTTGCCATTACTTAAAATTTGCAATAAAAAAAAATTGAGATTAGGGGTCTAGCTCTATTGGCAGAGTGCACTTTCCTAGCACAAAGGAATCCTTAAATCCTTCCTTAGCACTACATAAATTCGAGCAGTGACACATGCCTGGAATCCCAGCACTGCAGAGTGGAATCAGAAGTTCAAGATCATCCTTGGCCACAGGCTGGCCTGGGCTCTACGAGACACCATGACTACGTAAATAAAACAAACAAATACGAACTAGACAGTCACAATTGAGACAAATGCACAACACACATGAAGACTGATGTGTACTAACACATTAAGGAAAGTCCTCTACCAGGAGTAAACAGAGTTACTTCCCAAACTGACAGGACTAGATATCCTCAAGCACTACACTGATGTCAATTTTGGTAATAGTGCTGGGGTTGGTTTTCCATCCCTTAACCAGATCTGGGCACCAAAATCTCCTTTCCCTGGCTTCCAGTGTGTAAGCTCACAAAGTCTGTGGGCACAGCCCTAGGACTAAAACCAGCACCCGCTACCTGCCACAAAATGACCACAGAGAAGCATATTCCCGTCCCACAGCAAACTCAGACTTTAGTCACTGATTTGCTTACCCGAATCAACACAGCGGGGAGAATACATTACACATGTGATTCTATATACCATTTCCTGGAACTATCATTTTTGCCTAGACATGAGTGCTGTGTTTACTTATTAACCTGCAACAAATGAAAGAAATTCACATGGAAACATATTACTATAAAACTACCCCTAATATCCTAAGGGGTTAGACCTTGAACAGGACCTCACAATCAAAGTTAATAACACATGGTGAGGCTACTTAACACTCGGGACTGCTGCCCTACTACGAACTCAGCTGTTTGTCTAACCTGACTTTAAAAGAACCAACTTTATAGGCCTTGCCCTTCCCGGTATTCATTTTCACACCCTAAGATAATGCATAGCTGTAATCTTAAATTATATACCCTTCCATTTTCCTGACCCACGAGTGATGAGCATGCGTGTGTGTGTTCTGGTAACAGATCCTGGAAAAAGTAGTTACGCTGAAAGCAACTTCGTAAAATGAGTATCCACCATAATGTTGCTAACACATAGAGATTGCTTGATAGCATCTGTTTATGATGAGCTGGAGCCAGCCCTCCTAAAGAGCTTTTGTAAAGTGTGTCATTGCTTGCCTCATGTGATGCTTTCTGTGCTGTTCAGTGAGAGAGAGCGAAGTCCCTCACTGGGACAGACAACCCAAGACAGCGTTCAGGCAGGTGCAGAGTCAGACTCATACAAGAAAGCGGAAGCAGAGGGAGAAGGAAGAAGAGAATTCGAGTTCCCAAAGGGCAGCCGCTTTAATGTCCTTCCCTTTAGGCGACACTGACACATTCAGGCGCTCTGCGGCTACCGTTAACGTGTTCAGCACCTCGTACATCTGTTCAGTCCACATCACTGTGTCTGTAAATAAAGTTGACTACGGAGAAGGTGTTAGAGGTGGAGGCTGTCCGCCAGTGGATGAAGCAGCATAGAGCCAAGGGCTCCAGAAACTGCATGACGAGGGTCCCGGTAGACAAGGTAGCAGCCCCTCCTGTGAGGCTAGTGAGCCATGTTTGCCTTTTAGAGAAACTGATTCCACAGAGTTACCATAAGCCCAGAATTAAATGAAGAAATCAGCAGTGAATTCTCACTAGAAGACTCTCGGGTAACCATACCACTAGGCGAGAATCCCAGCTTTCAAAGGTTCTAGGAGGCCACGGCAGCTGGGTGATGGCCATACACAGCAGCTGCTATCCTAACATGGAAAGATGCCAGCATCGTGGTGGCTGAAGGGAGCTGGACACGCACACCAACTCACTCACAGGCAGAAGCTGAAAAGGCCGCTCTTGGGAAGCATGCACCGTGCGCTAGAAGGGCGAGGAGGACGGAACCATACAAAGACAATCAGATGGTGGCACACGCTCCGGAAGCCGACAGGACAGCCTGGCGCCTGCAGCCGAGAACCATTCACTCTATTTCAGAACAGCGAAAGTAAAGGGTCCCGGACATTCTCAACAATCAAGTGAGGACTGTGTGGGAAGATGGAGGTGCTCGAGACACTGCACGTGCGCACACATATCACGGCAGTTCATGTATGCAAGGAGCGTCACACTGTGCGTCAGGGTGCACACACCTAGGAGGAGTAGACCAAGCGTGGCTCTGCACTCACACGCAGACCCAGCAGGAGGGGGTCCCTCTCACTGTCATGGTGCCCGCTTGGTGTGGACTAGCTTCTCCACCCTCGGCTCCGTAACTGCATCAAAATTATAAGGTGTTCTTGTTCAGCTTACAAAAACACAAAGGTACAGGAAATAGCAAGTTAGAACCAATGACTATGTTTGGAGGGCCTGAATGATTTTCCTTTTCAACGAGAGTCCCGTACAGTCACAACAGAGAAGCGTGTGACGTCGCAGAAAAGCTGGGCTCCAAAAGACAGCAGGAAGAGACAAGGGTGGTGACTGACCAGTGCCCCAGACCAGAGCCCAGGCTGAGCCAGGGCTCAGTGACCACACAATCGTCGTCACAGTTCAGCAATGTCTCAGAAAAGGCACTGTGTCTCTACCTAGGAGTATAAATGTTGGCGTCGGTTACTGAGGAGAACATTGTCCTCTTCAAAGCAGAACCACACAATGCTGAAAACTACACACCCCACCACGGCCTCTTCACTTCTGGGAGGAGACAAACACTAACTATAAATGCAGATTTTAAGCAAAACACATGTACATAGAGGGGGAAAAAAGGTAACAAAGAAAAGAGCCTTATTTGGTTAGCAGAAGAAGTACATGTCTGGAGGGGTTGGTGATAAAGGCAGATGGATAGGCTGAGACAGTGTGGTTCTCAGGCATTTACCTTGGGACTTGACCATGTCCAGTGAGCGAGAGCCAGGTGTGGTGGGGCATGCAATTAACCCTAACACTTCAGAGGCAGAGGGAGGCTGGTCTCTGTGAGTTCGAGGCCAGCCTGGTCTACACAGCAAGTTCCAAGACCCAAACAGGGCTACACAGTTAAAAAAAAACAAAACAGCAGCAACAAAAAAGTAAGTGAATGCTTCTAA